CTCAGAATAAGTTTAAAAAGCTGAAGATGGATGGTCTGCTCAGACATAAAAGAGCCTATAGTTCAGCGCATAATTTCATTTTAGAACCTTTTAAAGAAAATCCGTACCAGCTTCCAGGTGAGTGTCAAGTTGCACTTGGTGCTGCTCTTAAGTAGACAGGACAAACATTTGGAGTCACAGTGAAATGGGTCACCTGCAACCTACTACTTCTTTACCATTAAATCAATAGCACTGTAAGGGAAGAATTTATTTAGAACAGAAGGACTGCACAACTAGATTTACCCAGACATCAGTAAAAGAGCCCAAGAAGGATGACACCAAAAAAGGGACATTCAGCCCTAGCACGTTTGGCTCAGTGGATAGGGTATTGGCCTGCGAGGTAAGGGTCCCGGGTTCAATTCCAGTCAGGGACATATGCCTGAGCTGTGAGCTCGATACCCAGTGGGGGGCGTGCAGGAGGCAGCCAATCAATGATTCTCTCTCATCATTGATGTTTCTCTCTTCCTTTTCCTCCTTCTCTGAAATCAATAAAAAAAAATTCTTTTAATTTTTTAAAGGGACATTCATCCAGGCTTTGTAAATTAAGCTGAGAGATACCGAGATAAAAGGCAAATGACATGTTCATTTCTTATTTTTAAAAAGATGTACAGATTTGAGAAGTGATTTCCTTAAGAATGCTGTCTGGGTTACTTGTCCAGATAATAAATCACACTATACCCTGAAGCCTACTTAATAAAAAAGAAGTTGAGAATAAACAAATGATTAGTTTGAGGCATGTGAATTTCTGAACTCTCTTAAGGGAGAAAGTTTTATTACCATTATTAAGGAACTGTTTTTAATCTCTGACATCAAAGCATAGATGTTAACCCTGGGGTTCTGAAACCAGAATAACCCATAAATAAAGTACTGTGAGAAACTGCCACAGATTAACTTTAGTCTGTTTGTCAGTTTTTAGCCAATTCACAGGTGACTCCATGAATAAAGAGAGGTATGGGAGAGGAAAAGGGGAGAATCAGAAGACCAAGGTTCAAGTTCAATTTCACCACCTATAAATAATACTAGAGGCCCGGTGCATGACATTAGTGCATTGGGGGGTGTGGGGGGTTCCCTCAGCCCGGCCTGCACCCTCTTGCAGTCCAAGACCTCCCTGGGAAGCAGCTGGACATCCCCCAAGGGGTCCTTAGCGCTGCTGCGGAGGCAGAAGAGGCTCCAACCACTGCCACTGGCGTTTGCCAGCCGTGAGCCTGGCTTCTGGCTGAGTGGCGCTCCTCCTGTGGGAGCACACTGAACACCATGGGGCAGCTCCTGCATTGAGCGTCTGCCCCCTGGTGGTCAGTGCATGTCATAGCGACCGGTCGTTCTGCCATTGGGTTGATTTGCATATTAGCCTTTTATTATATAGGAGGACTGAACAAACTGATCTAACTTGCCCATCTCAGTTTACTTAACAGGGTTCAGGGATAAAACATGTAAATTAATCCCTTGATAAACCCAAAAGCAATGTTCTAATATTACAGCACTAATTCCAGAATGCCTGCATTTCTCAAACTCTTGGAGAGTCACAGGACTTTATGCTGAAAGGTCATTGAACTTTCAGCCCAGAAAAGTTTAAGTCTTATACAGCCTTGGTCAGGGCACATACCCAGGTTTCAGGTTCGATCCCCCAGTCAGAGTCATATGGGAGACAACCCATCAGTGTTTCTCTCTCATATTGATGTTCCTTTCTCTCTCTCTCTCTCTCTCTCTCTCTCTCTCCCCCCTTCCTCTCTCTCTAAAATCAATAAAGACATATCATCAGGTGAGGATTTTTAAAAAAAAGTCTTGTACAGAAAACACTTTTGTAAACTGGTGGGTGTGGGGGGAGGGTCTAGTTTTACACCACTAAAATACAAATTTAGACAGCTCAAGACAAAACTATCTGAGGACTAAAGGTACCCCCCCCCAAATATAGTATACGTGTACACACACACACACACACACACACACACAATCCCCACCTTATGATGGTTCACCTTATTTTTTTTTTACTTTACGACAGTGTGAAAGTGATACACAAAATAAATAACATGAGTTATTCAGCACTTTATTATATAATAGGCTTTACGTTAGATGATTTTACCCAACTGTGGGCCAATGTAAGTGTTCTGAGTGTGTTTAAGGTAGGCCAGGCTAAGCTATGATACTCATGGTTCAGTATTAGGAGTATTGGTTCAGGTTAGGAGTATACATTTTAGACTTTTGATATTTTCAGCTTATGATGGATTTATCAGGATATAACCCATCATAAGTTGGGAAGCATCTATTTATCTGTATAAATCCTCTGCTTTATTTTGCTTTTGTAAACTTTACTCCTATAACTTAAAAGTTAAACTAAACTTTTCATCAGAAAGATAAAAATAAAGCCAGTTCTCAGGCTATGAGATTCACAGCCAATTTTCAATCCAACCCAGCCAAAACCTTTACAATTGGGTTAGAAACATCAAATGGAAATATCAACATAACATTAACCTCCAGCTACATTGGCAGGTGTCATTATAATATGGATTACAGTGCTATCAGCCCAGGGATACTGGTTTTAATGTTCCCTGGGAGATCAAGAATTAATCAGCAACTTAGAAGGGGATGTTGCCTAAAAGTAGAAAATTTAATGGAGACAATTGCATTGTTTTTAAAATTGTGCCCTCAATAACCCAGTATCAAAAACCCAGTATGGCAACAAAGAAATTATGTGTGGTTAAGAGGCAAAATGTTCTTTTTTTTTCCTACAAGCTGTTATGGGAAGCAGAAAAAGGCTGACTATGAATCAGTTATGTTTTAGTTCCACGGTGGACATAAATTATGATAATTTGGACATTCTGGCGGTTAAACCAAAACAGCAGGAAAACCATCGTTTCCAAGTCCCTGCAAAAGTTAAGTTTGTGGCAACTCAACTGAAAGGCAGGGCCATAGAAAGTGACCTTAAACTTATTTCTGGACCTTCCTGACTCCACTAACATCAATGACACTATTTCCCATCCCTTATTGTCAAATCACAACAGTCCGGAAGCCTGGACGGAGTTCACTTGGCAGGTAACAGGAACAACTCTAGGAGGAAGTCCTGAAGGATGTCAGATACCATATTTCCTTTTCTCCCGCACACTTTTCATCTTCATACCGCCAGGATATATTTACCATGTGTTCTGACTGACACCACCAGCCAAGCGTTCTGACTGACACAAACTTTGCAGAAACTGGCTGGCTCTAGGGGAGGTCCCTGTGAGAGCCTTAAGTAGCTTAGATGAGTAAAACATTCAGACGACTACTATAATGAGCATGTCTCAGTGGCTCATAAATTCTTTCATTCCCAGCAATCAAGGAGCAGCTGTTAAAATCCAGGAATTTTCCTAGTAGCAGATCTGAAATGCCTCCAAGCTGGCCAGAGAGGCTTCACAACTTCTTTCTTCTGCTACACTCCCCCCTACCCCCCTCCACCCCACCCCACCCCACCCCCCCACCCCCCCACCCCCCCACCCCCCCGTGCCAAATCACGGGAGTGCCAGCCTGGCAGGAATAAAGATGACCCAGGAAGGAAAGAGAGAGAGCAGTCGATCTGGTGAAAGCAGAGATGCAGACTCGCTTCGTTTCCTCTACAGAGAAACACCAACTCTCTGTATCCTTCCTGCAAACACATGAGTAACTTCTGCAGCCTGGTGGGCTGGTATTTCCAGAGTCAGCGACCCCAGCAGTCCTGAGCCCCGACCTCAAGGGTTCTGAACCAGGCACTTCCGTTCTGCGACCGAGTTCGAGGCCCATCCCACGGGAAGATTCGGCTTCTCTTTACCTTGTAATCCGCCCAGACAGCTCTTGAGACTCGGGTCAAGTTCAAGATGAAGGTGCCCTCCTAACCTTCCTGCCTCTCACAGGGAGCAGCTCTACCGAGAAGACTCCCATCGCTGCGGCACGGGGAGCTGGGCTGCCAGGAGTGAGCTGGAGGGGAAGACTGAGCCTGAACCCCGCAACTTCAGGCCCCCTGGCCGCGGCGCCGCATTTCTACCTGGGCACCGCCGCATTTACCCCCGGAGCCTTGTACAATGAGTCCGGTACATGTTAGAGACGCTCAATCCGCAAACACAACACACAATGCTGGGGCTTCCTTCCTAGCCCGCCGTTCCGGAAAGCCGCCGCGCCAAAGCGGGCAGCCCCGCACACCCCCAGCATGGTGCGCCTGCACCCCAGAGTCCTTCAGGAAGAAGGTGCGCCCTGACATAGGTACCCCCAAAGTGACCACTTGCCACTCTCCAAAGAACATGGGTATTCACAATCTTGACATAATTCTCGTCCTTCTCAGCTCCTCAATGTTTAATCCTACCTAGCTACATCCCCCCCCCCCCCAACACCGTGGATATGCTATTCGCAGTGTTCTTGGGAGCTGAGCAATAGACTTTCAGCCCAGTCCGGGGCGTTACGACCCTCCCCTCCGGTTTAAGTTCACCCGGCAACTTCGCGACCTGCGCTCCCCTACACGCTGGGGGCACCCTGGACCCCGCGGTGCCCGGCGCGCCTCTCCGCCGCCGCCTCCGCCCCAGGTACCAGGCGCAGCCCAGGCCTTTGCCAAGCCCGCGGGCTACAGAGGAGGCGAGAAAGGGGTCGGGGAGGCCGGGCAGGGGTGGTCCCGAAACCCGAGCGTGCCGCCTCGCGTTTCCGGAGCCCCCCGAACCCCAGCTCCGCCGGAGGCACTTGTGTCCGGCGCGGAGGGGATGGCGAAGGGGAGGCGCAGACGCTCCAGAGCCGCCAGCGCCGAGGCCGGGGGTGCACAACATGTCCGTGCCTATCCCCGGAAAGCTCCCGGGTGTGCCCAGGGAAGGGGGGGCGGGCAGGCTCCAGAAACTTTCCCACATGCCTTTCCACTCTCCCATCGCCCTCTCTCCCTCCCGGGACCCTCTCCCTCCTCGGCACCGCGGCATCTGGCCCAGCCCGGGGCGCCCGGAGGCCCGCGGCGGCGGCCGGGCGGCGGGAGTTACCTGCCCGGAAAGTTTCCAGCCTTCGGCGCGATTCCCCACCCCCAGGGCCGGGCCTCGGGGCGCGGTCGGCTCGGCGCTCGGCGGCTGCCTCTCCTCCGGCTTCCGAGGCTACCGCTGCTCCCGCAGCTGCCACTGCGAACGCTGCGCTCCGGCCCGTCCCCCCGCCTCCACGGCCCACTCCGGGGCCTCATTGGCAGCCCGAGTCCCCGCCCCCGCGCGTGTTCCCGAAGGCACCTTCCTCTCGCGCGCCCGCCCGCCCGCCCGGCCGCGCCTCCCGCGCCCCTCCCCGCCCGGCGCTGCGGCGGCTCCCAGGACCCGCCGGGACGCGGCGCGAGAACTTTCCGCCGGACGCGGGCGCAGCGCTCCCCGCCCACTTCTCCCGGCCGAGTCCCTAGCTTTCCCCCCAGGGCGCTGGGGGCTGGTCCCTCGGGGCTGAGCTTGGACCCCTCTGGGACTGGATGAAAATGAGTGATAGTCTTGTTTTGTTTATTTCCCCCCATCTCTCTAAAATCAGTGAAGTGACATGGCCTCCCCTCCTTGCTGCTTTTTGAAAACAACCGAGGAGGACATATGGGAGCAATTAGCCAAGCTGAAGTTTTCTTGAATGCTGTAGGTGACTTGTGTGGCTGTCCTGAATTCATTCTCTCTCTCTCTCTCCTTTTCCCTCTCTCTTTCCCTCTCCCTCTCCCTCCCTCCCTCCCCACACTTTCTGGGGCAAGATAGAGCTTCTGGAGGTGGACGGTGAAAGGGGCCATCTCTCCTGCTGTGTCTTTTTCTTTCCTGAAAGCGCATTAGTGATGTTCATGGAGCGGAGATTGCCTGGGCGTCCAGGGGGCCCGGTGCCTGCAGCCTCCTCTGACCGCTCCTGTGCTGTCTGGGCTCCATCCCGGAGGGCTTCCATGGGCGGGAGGTGGAGGTATGCAGCAGGAGCAAAACAAAGATGCTATTATTGTTTCAGTTGGTAGCAGTAAATTAAATTCCCAAAATGTTTTGTTATTCCCCAGCAGAGCGAGAGCTGGGATGGAGCCTACGGATTCGGGAGTCCTGGGTTCACCGGCTTCACCCAGGAATCTCAATCAGCCATTTCAGGTCGGGAAGGGGTGTATGCTCAGCCCACTCCATACCCCAAACGCTTTAGACCGGCCTTGGCCAGGAAGATCAACAGGGACTCCTGTTCCTGGTGGGGCCTGCGGGAATTGTGCACGGGTCACCCCAATGGTGTGTCTGGAGCAAGGAACACAGAAGTTGCTGTAAATGGATTTATTGGCAACCTCTAACCTTGCTGTGGCAAAACTGCCTTTAAAGACAACTGTTTTAAACAAGTTCACCCATAAAAACTTCAACATCACGCAGAGCTTTCCAGTATAAAGATATCCGGGGAGGGGAGTGTCCAAATTTAAAATTCTTAGGAAAAGGGAAAGAAAGCAAAATGCCACACAATTGCTCTGCATAAATAAAAGATGATTGAAATTTGCTGGATTTTTCACCCGGAGTTTCAAAGGCCTGATGATGGCTGGGCTGATATTTGAGCAGGACATTATCAGCAGCCTCAAACTCTTCCTACAGCAGAGCAGAATATGAATATTTAAAATAAAATATAAACTTATTAAACCAGAACAGCTATTGACTTATTCCTTCACTCTGAAATGTCTCGCTGCTGAAAAACATGGTAATAGGTTTTATCTAATTTCTCTTGAAATGAAATGCATAAGTTACCAATCTTTCAACAACAGATGAAAACGCTAGAGAGCAGCCTTCATGGTAAAAGAATGACACAACAACAAAAAAACTCCACTTTGTTTAATCTGAAATATTAAGATATAAAAGAAACAACCCTAGAGAAATAAACTGCTACAATTCCCTATCTCAGCATTCTTTATAATGGGTGAAATGTATAGTGGATGAAATTTATCATTTGTATCATGGTCTGTCTTTGGCTCTTCTAAGCTATATTCTCCAAGTGTTTTTTGAAATTGCTTCGTTAAATTGGGCTTTGAAGACAATGAAATTCATCTCCCCCCCCACCCCCATCCTCAGAGTCCCCTAAGTAGCAAGTAGAAAAATACATAAAGTAATTATGTTAATTACTGGCATCGTCTTTAGATTAGTTGAAAAAAATGTTGTCTTTATAGTTTCAGAAGTCACAGTCACTAAAGAAGTAACTTCATCACTGCGTAGTTAGGAGTGTTTAACATTCAAAACAGGCATGCAGCTAGCAATCTGAAATTTGTACACAGAAGGGTCCTGTCTCCCTTTCTTCCTGTAGTGCTTATATAATCCAAACTACATATGTTGGTATGCACAATCTGATTCCCAGCTTTAAGCGGCTAACATTACATACAGTATGTCATACTCGGAACATCAAAGCTGTCTGAAGCTCTACGTGAAAATGGTACATTTTAATAGAAAACAAGGCCAAAAACGAGGAATAAAAATTCATGGGTAAGGGAAAAAGGGGGATACATTAAGATCAAGTCTGTAAGAAAATATTTGAATATTTTCTAAGCATCTACACACAGGATGGGGCAAAAGTAGGCTTACAGTTGTTCATATGGGAAATAATACAATGATTACAAAATAATAATACAAGAATAAACTTTGTTTTGAATCCTCACAACTGTAAACCTACTTTTGCCCCACCCTGTGTGTGAAAGAGCTAAGCACAGGTTCAAAAAATGAATTTTAGCCCTAGCTGGTTTGGCTCAGTGGATAGAGTATTGGCCTGCGGACTGAAGGGTCCCAGGTTTGATTCCGGTCAAGGGCACATGCCCAGGTTGCAGGCTCGATCCCCAGTAGGAGGCGTGCAGGAGGTGGCTGATCAATGATTCTCTCTCATCATTGATGTTTCTATCTCTCTCTCCCTCTCCCTTCCTCTCTGAAATCAAAATATTTTTTAAAAAGAATTTTAATGCTTTTCAAAAATCTGCTTTTCCCTTTAAAAATATAAGATGCTTTTAGTTAGTTATTAGGTGATGCTTTGTTTGTATTTTTAGGGAGAGGGGAAAGCCAGAGTTACCTCTTTTCTTAGGGTATTTCTGCTCATGCCATTCAGTTTAAAAAGTTCACTCATTACATTCCTGTTGATTCCATCTGAAAAAATAAATATAAATAAATTAGAGAGCACATAATATTACATGTTGAACACATTCACCAAACATACATACAATATACTGGATTCTATTTTTAATTTTCTGTCAGTTTGCCAGCAATGTACCGTTTCTCAGCACAGTGAAAGAAAACTACAAATAATAAACTGTTATTTTACTTACAGTTTACTGCCCAGGGCAATAGGCTGAGGAAGGCGTGAGAAAAGAATGTGGCCTGTGAGTGTTAAAATGCTTTTTCCCTTGCTCAGATTCCAAAGTACTTCTATTTTAAATCAAGCCTAAGTTAGGATCAGAGCCAGTGTTTATTATGGAATATGTAGTATAGAATACATAGTGAGAAGTGAAATGTTTTAAACAGTGTAGTAACTAAATACAAAACCTGAGACAGGACTTAAAAAAAAAATCAAGGCAAGGTAGGAAATCCAGACTCAAAATAATCCAGCCCACAAACACTTCTCACCTACTTCAGAGCATCTTTTAATGTTTACAGAATTCATTCTGCTTTGGTCTATTCAATCTCCCTTTCCCTTTTAACATTTTGGAGAGGAAAAGAAGTTTTAAAGACACGGGGTTATAGTCAGAAATCAGTTGAGAAAAGCAATGAAATTACATACTGCTACACAGTTCCTGCATGTGTAACGACCTGTGGTCACACATGTATACCAATGCCATGGTCAAAAGTGTACTCATGGCAGACATTCCTCCAGAAATATTGAAAGCCACAGTTGTGCATTGTTAGCCAGGAAGTTAAATTAAAAGAGTCATCTAATGAGAGACATCTAAACCCCTCTGCAGGCCTAGCATATGGCCTGCCAATATTGTAGAACTCATCCAATAGGGGTTGGGTAGTGAATTATTTAAACCGATAAGGACTCCACTGAGGGAAGCAAGCAGGGAGATAGATTCAGGAGTTCACATTTCCTTATAAGAATGGAAGAGTAGCTCTAGCTGGTTTGGCTCAGTGGATAGAGCGTCCGCTCGTGGACTAAAGGGTCCTGGGTTTGATCCCAGTCAAGGGCACATACCTCGATCCTCAGCGCATGTGGGAGGCAACCAATCAAAGATGGCATACCGTCTGACTAGCAATTTAAATATAGATTTAATCCAATCTTCTGATGGTGAAATGGTTTATAAGGGGAAATAGAAATTTCTAATGTTCAGGAAGGGTGAGAAAATGCAATCAGGTGCTAATCCCTCCAATAAATGTTGAGTCTGGCTAAGATGGCTTACAAAGAAATGTGCCGTTTGCCCGGCTGGTGTGGCTCAGTGGTTGAACATCGACCTATGAACCAGGAGGTCACAGTTTGATTCCCCTGTCAGGGCACATGCCCAGGATGCAGGCTCAATCCCCAGTGTGGGGCGTGCAGGAGACAGCCAGTCAATGATTCTCTCTCATCATTGATGTTTCTATCTCTCTCTCCCTCTCCCTTCACCTCTGAAATCAATAAAAAATATGTGTTGTTTTTTTTAAAGAAATATGCTGTTTAACTTTGAGTATTACAAATGTGTTTTAATATCTCCTCCTGGGAGTGGCTCTTTCCCTATTCTCAGCAAATTGTACAACAAGGCACTGACATAGGAGTCATAATATCTAGACTCCAGTTCTGACTTTGGCAGTTGCTTGCAATTCCTGGCAATTCATTTAGATTTCTTGAGCCTCCGGTCCCTCATCTATGAAATAAGGAGGACGGCATAGAATATCTGCCTTGCAAGTTTGTGGGGAAGATTAAATACAGTAAGGTGGAAAGCACTTAATAAATTAGAAAATACTCTACAGGAGCTAACTTTTATTCAATAGATAATAGGCTATGTTTTCCCTCCCTGTTACCCGGGAGCCCTTTGCAATAACAACCTCAAAGCTTGGTTGGAGCGGTCCAGAATGCCACGTTTGCCAAATGTGAAAGGAAAAGAGCCTTCGAGATGACTTAGTAGTAGATAATAACTCCATTTAGGCTCTCAGAGGCTCATCTGGGGGTAAATTGGCAACTCTTATTCAAACAATAGCAGTCAGAAG